TAGCAAGTGGAGGTGTGACAGCCTGCTTGGGTCTACGTTTGTGGGTGGGATGTGAAGGAGGAACCCGGGGAAGACTTGGTGTATGGTAAACCCGGGTTGCGTGATGAAGTCGTGGGGTTCCATGACTTCAAAATAATAATAATTCCAGATTCATGAGCATAACAAATTGTTGTTGTTGTTGTTGTTGTTGTTGATGTTGTTTTTCTTCACATTAAACTCGTGTCAGTTGCTAATACCAAAATCTAGCAAAGACTCCGTCCGTGGTCACAAAAATGCTAGAGCCATCAGTACAAACCACTCGGAAAAAGAAAACAAAATGATGACAAGAAAAGAACCGGTACCGCACCGACCGTTCCTCCAGAAAAAAAAAGGAGCCCTCGGAAACCGATCAAAATCAAATAAAAACAACACGCTTCCCACACCCGCCCAAAGAAAATATCAAAGGGTAACGTACCAGCACCAGGCACTACGCACCAGGGCATGGGAGTAACGGAGCAAACAGGACAAAGAGGCGGCAGATGGGCCGACAGTCAGAAGTACAAAAACAAAGGCAACAGCAAAGCGAGATCAAGGTACCCGAAACAGCAGAGTATAGATAGGCAGGGAGGTCATGAAAAAAGAATCACAGCACAGCAGTGGCCGAAGGCAATAAAAGGGACATACATAAAGGAGTATAGCATACAGCAGGGAGAGAAACAGGGCGCAGCAACATCAGCCGGGTACGTACATTGTGCGCCTCGGTGGTCTAGTGGGTAACGTCACAGCCTGCCAAGGACCAGGTCGTGGGTTCGAGGGACAGAATGAGTTCTTTCTGGCTAGACTAATTAAATCCTGGTCTCCGTTGGAGAGCCGTTGGAAGGGATGCGCTGCATATTGTTTGTTGTTGTTGTTGTTTCTCACATTACAGTCGAGGGACCCTTTTAGTGCCGGTTGAATAGTGCCAGATGCCCGGTATAGTGCCGGTAAAATCTCTGCACACAGGCGGAGCTCTCAATAGTGCCAGACCGGCACTAATTAAAGCATGCCTGATATAGTGCCGGTTCGGCACTACTGTCACCCCCAATAGTGCCGGTACTCCGCACGCGCGAAACACACACACGCATACGTCTTTTCATTGGTCAGCCGGTTAGCGCGGTCGATGCTAATAATAAAAACACACGCATAACCCAGGGCAGAAAACATAGACTCCACACACAGAAATAGGGTACACGTGCTGCTGCAGACCCGAACAGCTCTACACAGGGGCGTACCATGCCCTGTGCGGAAGGTGAACTGTGCCAACTACAGGACACCACGCCGCAAGACCCTCATGGTCACGGCTGCCAGGGAGGATGTGGCGGGCGACTGCACGGCATTTGCGGCAGTGTGGTTGATGTAGGCAACGAGAATCACCGCATCTGCAGCGCGTGCGTCGCCAAAGCCGGCAAGCGCAAAGTGTCAGCAGCAGACAGCACTGGGAAGGCACAATCTAAACGTCCGAAGGCCACGAATGGGGGGAGTAACAAGTCTCAGCCTCGTGCGCGGCCAGATTTCAGCGCCAAGTGTGAGATGCTGAAGCTGATGGATCAGAAGGTGACTCATGAGCAGCTAGCAGATCGCTTCAAGTGCTCGGAACGGTTGGTCCGGGATGTGAAGAAGAACAGGAAGAAGTACGAGACCGAGGCTGCTGCAGGACGCGGAGGAAGCAAGAAAAACGTGCGCACAGGCAATAATCCGGAGGTGCGCTACTCTGCTGTTGTTTTAAAAAAATACGCGTAGTTCCCGCGCCTTCTTTGCCTTTTTTTTTT